AGGGGGGTGGGGTAGAGGAAGAGATTAAAAATGATCAAGAAATTATATATACATATGTCTTTTTGAGTCAAGGTTTCACTATGAAGTTCAGGCTGATCTTGAACTCACTTTATGGCTCAGGCTGGCCTCGAACTTGTTGTCCTGCCTCAGCCTCCTGAGAGTACTGTGATTATAGGTGTGCATCACCACACCTGGCTGTGCGATTTCTTTTTTTTTTTTTTTTTTTTTTTGGTTCCCCCACCACCACCTGTACCGGGAATTGAACTCACGACCTTGCGCTTGCCAGGCAGGTGCTGTGCCGCTGAGCTAAATCCCCAGCCCCTGGGCTGTGCGATTTCTTAAACATGTTTGTTGGGAGTCAAAATTAGCACAACCAGTTTATTTTTTCCCCCTCTCTGGTTTTGACATCTTTTTTTGAGACCAGGTCTCACCATGAAGTTGAGGCTGGGCTTGAACTTGCTTATGTAGCTCAAGCTGGTCTCCAACTCACAGTGATCCTCCTGCCTCAGCTTCCCGAGTGCAGGGATCATAGGCGTGCGCCACTGCACCCAGCAGTTTTGACATCTTGCACAACTACTTTAGATAACAATTTGCATTTTCTTGTGAAGCTGAACAGACACCCACACAGCTGTGAGCCAAATGAATATTCCTGTTTTACTGATGAGGAAGTTGGGGCCCAGAGTTGTTAGGGGACCCGCACAGATCATAGCTGGTGAGTTATCGCTAGTCAGAGCTGGGATGCAGAGACAGGAGGATTGCAGGGGTTCGAGGCCAACCTGGAATACAAAACACAACAAAACAAAAGACGCTGCTGGGTTGGGGTGACTGCAGACGATGACAGATTGGAAACAAAGCCCAGGAGCCAGGCGGGTTACACACGCCCTGCGGTGGGGTTTGCCTCTCCTACCTCCTTTTTGGGGATGGAAGGAGCCTCACCCTATGCCCCTCTGGGTCCCCGGTGGTGACTAAGACAAACCAGTGAACCATCTAAACCGGGCACACCTCCTCCTCCCTCTCCTTGCATCTCTTGGTCTCCGTCCCATTTGCAAAAGATCTATAAAAACCAACACATTGCTTTTTACTCTTTTTATTTTTTCAATGCTGGGGAATGAACTCAGAGCCTTGCATATACTGGGCAAGCTCTCGACCACTGAGCTGCTCCTGCAGGCCTAAAAATGTTTTTTAAAAAGTCCTAGTCAAGTGTGCTGGCGCACACCTGTTATCCAGCTCTCAGGAGGCTGAGGCAGGAGGATTGCCACCAGTTCGAGGCCAGTCTGGGCTAAACAGTGAGTTTGATGCCAGCCTGAATTACAGAGTGAGGCCCTATCCCGCCCCCCCCCAAAAAGAGAGAAAAGTCCTAATTAATACATAATTGCAGGGTCTGAGATATAGCTCAGAGGCACAAGTGCCTGCCTGGTAAGAGCTAGGTCCTGAGTTTGATTCCCGCTACAAAAAAGACATAACTAGGGGCTGGAGATTTAGCTCAGCGGCAAAAGCGCCCTCCTGGCAAGCGCAAGGTCGTGAGTTCGGTTCCCGGTACTGGAGAAAAACAAAAAAAAAAAAAAAAAAAATAACAGCAGAGCGAGGGAGGGGAGAAGAAAAAGGGGGCATGGAAAGAATGAGGATGTATTATGCATATGCACCAACTCTCCGTGATGGATGTAATCCCTATGAACTG